AACAGTAAAACAATGTGATACTGGTGAAATAATAGATCAAAGGAATAAATATAAAGTTGATCTAAATATAAAGAAACAAATACTAGCACAAAATTTCCAATGAATATAAACATACACTCACACACAAAACAAATTTCCAATGAAAATAGTAAAATATTGGAAAAACTGACTACTCACTTGAAAAGAAAACTTAGATTACTACTTCATATCCTGCAACATCAAATATATTCAAATGGACTAAATACTTAAATGTAAAATAATCACAAAAATACCATAAATATATGTGATTAAAATATAAAGAAAAATGTTTTAGCTTTTATTTATTTGAAAGGCAAAAAGAAAGATAGGCAGAGCTGCTATCCAGTAGCACTCCCCAGATCCCCAAGAAGTCCACAGGGCTGGGCAGAGGGCAAAGCCTGGAGCCAGGAACTGAATCCAGGTCTCCCATGGGAGTTACAGGAGCCCAGTCACTTGAGTTTCATCATTGCCTCACAGAATTTAAATTAGCAGGAAGCTGGAGTCAGGAGCCGGAAATGGGAATTAAACCCAGCTACTCTGATATGGGACAGGGAGAGATATCTTTTAAAAAAATTATTTATTTATTTGAAAGTCAGAGTTACACAGAGAGAGAAGAGGCAGAGAGAGAGAGAGAGAGAGAGAGAGAGAGAGGTCTTCCATCCTCTGTTTCACTCTCCAATTGGCCGTAACGGGAGGAGCTATTCCAATCCGAAGCCAGGAGCCAGGAGCTTCTTCTGGATCTCCTGCGTGGGTGCAGGGTCCCAAGGACTTGGGCCATCTTCTACTGCTTTCCCAGGCCATAGCAGAGAGCTGGATCAGAAGTGGAGCAGCCGGTCTTGAACCAGCACCCATATGGGGTGCCGGCACTTCAGGCCAGGGCGTTAACCCACTGCACCACAGCACCGGCCCCGGGAGAGATATCTTAACCAGCTTTTAAAGGAGCTTCTTAACCACCAGGCCAAATACCTATTCTATATAAAAGAAATTTTAAGATTTGAAATTTAAAAGAAATTATAAAGGAAGAATTTGATAAGTTGACTAAATTTTTAATTTTTCTATGTTAAAAGAAAATTCATAAATAAATTTCAGTGGCACATAAAACATTGGGAAAATGTTGGGATTGTGAAAAATAAAGAATTCACATTTTCAAAATATAAAGAACACATAAAACTCTACAAAGAAAAGACAATTGTATATAAATGCACAAGCAGTACAGCTGTCCCTATATCATACTCTTTCCTTTCGAAATTGCATAATAGTGGTTATTTCTTTATTTTTATTCATTTGATCTATTTGATACAACACAAATGGTTATACAGGTATAAAGTATCATTTTTTTAATCTACTAAGCAGGAAATTTTTTAATGTTCTGCCATGTCATGTTGTGGAACATGCTAGGAAACTTGCTGTCCTGCTCTGCTGCCAGGAGTGTTTATGGACCCAACATTCCCAGAGAGCATTTTGTCGATTATGCATAAACTTTTCCTACTGATTTCACTTCTACAAATGTATGCTGAGGAAATAAATAGGCATGACTGTATCCCAAGATTAACTACAACCATTTTCGTAGCACCAATGATTATAATAAGGAACATTTGAAAACAACCATAAAATGTCCCTTAACAGAGAATTCATTAGATTTCTTTTAGTACCTCCCTATAGTGGAACATCATTTCTATTAGAGAGTAAAATGAAATGATACTGTGGAAAAAATCTTTAATGACACCAGAAGATATTTACAATATCATTAGAAGAAAGAGCAGACAATAAACCCACACGTACAACACAATACCGATTTTGTCCAAAAACAAATCATTCATATCTGTGCACCTTTAAGGAATGAGACCAAAACATTAACAACAGTCATTGCTGGTGTAAGAATTATGAAGAGCAACATGGATTATTTCTATTTTACTATTATGCATATCCATGTTTTCTTAAAGTTTTTAAAATAAATATTTTTAAAATGAGAAAGAAGTGTGAGATTTATTTTTAAATTATACTGCACTGTTTTTTCTTTATTACATCCCCAATA